CAAACTGTGGAAGAGAACTTCATTCTTACGTTCATCTCTATTCAAAAGTTGAGGTGGCATTTCTTGTGCTTCCACTGCCAAATATAGATAAGAAATGTGTGGCTAAATAAAAATAAAATAAATAATATTTAAGCCCACAACATGTTACACAAGTGTGATAAATTAGAATTCTAAATTTGTTCACATTTAATTTATTTTCCTTTATTTGATAAAGATTTTAATTTCTCAATGTTGAAGATAATTCAATTTTTTCAATATATATATATATATATATTGTAAAAAGCCAAGAGGAGTCCCAGGGTAGAAAGCCACCCTCTTTTCTGTGGAATTCTGTTTTTTTTTTCATTTAAAAGCAATGGGCTGAGGATGTTAGCCCAAGTTTTTCTTACCATGCATATAAATCAAGATTGGTCAGTTTAGTCCCCAGTGTCATTTTATTTTGTTGTTCGGTTTATTGGGTTTTTAAGGTTTGGCTTTATTTAATCTTTTCCAAGCTAGTTGGTATTGGAAAATTTTCTAACTAGCTTTATAAAAATATGTCGAAGAAGAGAAAAGGGGCGCATAAAAAGAATGAAATTAAAAAATTAGATAAAGTAGCAGAAGTAGGAGTTATTTTCCTCCAAATTTTTAAAATATGAAGGTGATAAAAATACTAAATTTTTAAAGATGCTAGACACTTGGGTGTGTTTAGCAAAATTAGTGGATAAATTAAGTAACAGCTAAAAATCTAACTGAAAAATTAAAGTTAAATACTATAGATGACAAGAAAAACTTATAAAGTGTAGACCAAAATTGCAATAGAAAATTTAAATTAGTTGAATAATTTAAATTATAATAATAACTTAAAGATAAAGTTTAAGTATTTTAAGGTGAAGTGAAGTTACTTTATTACAAAACTAAATATCAAAGTCTAGACCAAAATTCTTCCAAAAGTTAGATTCAAAGCTTTGAGAAATAAACTAAGTTTCTTCTAAACATTTACAATTATCGTTTAATGATTGATAATTAAAATGTTGCTTTTATCATCAACATCCACAGCATAAATTATATGTTTTTTTTTATATATAAATTATAAAATTTTAATATACAACACTATATGAATAAATGAGGGAAAGTAACCTTCATCTGGTGCAAAAGAATCAAAGGTGGCTTTATTATTAGGCGTGTTTTATACTTTGGTACTCTGATTGAAAGAAAGGGATGTTTAGCGCTCTATCATTTGCTACTTTTGCTGTTTTGCATAACCTTTACAAGAACACCGCCCAAAAGACCAAAAGTTTAACTAAAAATCTATACAATCATAAGCCTCATAATTACTTTAGTTCATATGTTTGTGACAAGATAATCAATATTATTGTAAAGTTTTATTATATATTCTAACCCTAACTTTTAATATATTATTAACAATATTTTCAATAACCTTTGAAGAAATCCTGATCCCCTACAGAATTACCATAAATCAAGCACGTTTAGAGTAAGACATAACGCATAATAGAATAAATCTAAGTACAATAAATTTATAGATTTTAATAGATAGTTGCATGAACAGCTCTATGGTTATCTGTTTTATTTTGCTGATCAGAAGCATATACGCATAGTACTAGTTTCTGAAAGATACTTGACCATATCCAAAGGCATTAATGTTATGCTAGTCAATGGTGGTATGTAAAGTTTGAGAGCGACCACTATTCCCTAATTAAACTTTGTAACATTGTCATAACGTACACTTCCTTTGTCTTAAATCATTTCTTCCACAAACTTAATCTTTAGAAAAAGAATTTCTTGGACCTGAAACGTGTAACAATGGATGATATCTAATTCTCAATCACTTACTCATAAAAGATTTAATATTATATCATTAATTAATTCTTTTAAAAGTTTAAATTTTATTAATAATTTATGGTGAAAAATTAATAAATGAAAACTCATAATTTATTTTATTTTCTATTACAATTTTAACATCCTTTATAAGTTATACATCACTTTAGACTTCGAACCAATCCCAAAAAACTCAAATAAATAAATAAAATCTGACTAATTCCGTTATTTCAATAAATTTTATAATTAAATTTGAACTAAACCAATAATCCGATCATCTTTAATTTGAGTAGCAATTCCATATTTAAAAATTTTATGACCTGTTACTTGAATCAATCAATCAATCTAATCTGTCTTTATTTTTGTTTCTCTTTCGTATATGTATTACACGATACCGTTTCAACTAAAGAGATAGCAATCCAAACCAATCAATTTAAATAACTTCTTTAATTTAATTTTATTTTGTACTTAGATGGACAATACAACATTGTTTAAGTTAAAAAGAATGATCATTAAATTCAATCAACATAAACCTTTTCTATTACTTATAATGTACATTAAACTTGAAGAATTGAAGCAAACTAACATAGTCTTAACTAGATTAGTTCATTTCAAGTTTTGTAAGCGAAAAAATCTGCAAAATTAAACTAAAAAATAAATCAATTTGATCCGTGAACACCCTTACCCGTTCATTATCAATAGTATTCATGTTGAGTTATATATATAAATGGTTCCAAAATTTGTGGATGACAGAGACCTGAATTGTTCTAAATTGCTGCATAGATATAGAGAGGATTCATTCAAATTATAACTTGTGGGTGTGATTCAATTACCATACAATTGTAACAAATGATTAAGATAGTGAGGGAAAATAATAAAAGATGATGATTATCCATGCCATGAACCAACCCGATGATTTATAAAGCTGAAAAGGAAGTACACCGTATACGTGTCTATGCGTGTATGTTTGCACGAATTCCATGCTTAAAAAAATCTAAACTTGCACGTTTGAAACTTCTAACTGGGAGAAGCAAAAGAACAACCTCATAAAATGCAAAGGGGCATAGAGATGAATGGGCCTCCAAAAATTAAAAAGGTAACAAATAAGACAGAATAGTGATTGAAATATGAAAGGCCATGAAACAACAAAAGGGGTTTTTGGTCAAAGGATTCATCATTTATGCCCCGAAAAAATTAAGAAAAGAGACAAAAAGATGTCACGTTGCAAACACGTGCAAGAAACGAATCCAAGAATATTGACAGCTTCAATTCGACAAATAACAAAATGAATCATTTAAGAATAAGGGCCAACATTTAAAAAAGAAAAACTTTTTATATCTATATTTGAAGATATATAATAAAAAATTAGAAGTAATAAATTTTATTAAAGATTATATATTAACATTTTGTTGAATGATCTTTGCATGAGTTAGAAAAAATAATATTAAATAATACATACAAAATAGGTATTTATATTTAATAATGTAAATTAAAAAATAATGTTATTTGTTTGTTATTAAAAAGAATACTGGATCGCGGGAATAGCATCTATGAATGAATCAAAGGCACAATATCTGACTGGCCAATAAAAAACGATGAAGTTGAGTTTAAGTTCAAGTTTGATTTGAAAATGGGTCAATGTTGAAAATTCAAACTCACATCTATAGAATCAGAAACCTAGGACAAAGTTGATACTATGTGCATGTGGTTCTGCTTTAAACTGTTGGCTTATTCCCTTTCACACGTTCACACCCACCTTTTGGTTCATAAAAGCATTGGATGGTACTGAGGAGAAGTGGGATGCTACCCGTCTACAGCAAATTCAATCATTCTCTACTTAGTAAGCAAGATAAGATGCTTACATCATTAGTCCTTTGTTGTTCATTTCTTGTCATGCACTTATAATGGCCTAAACTTTTGTTTAATGAATTTCATTTTTTAATTCTAGTTTAAATTATCTTTTTGATTCTAGTTTTGAAAGAAAAACATGTCATTATGTAATGTACTTACTAAAAAGATTGTCATTTCTTAGATACTCAAATTGTCTTTGTTAATATATTTTTTCCTATTATCTAAATATTGCGGATTTGTATTCAAAATAAATAGTATTATATTAATATTTAAGTATCAATATACTATTAATATTGTTTTCTAGTATAATATACGATAAATGTTATCATACACGCACATTTTTTACATTAATAAGTTAAATTTTATTAAAGATTATTCTAATATTAAACCATTAGTTAATGTTATTTTTCTTTATACTGGAAGGATTTGATTCTTTTGAAATGAAGGAATAGAGGATAAATTTAATTACAGCTATCAATTAGACAATTTTGATAAAATTATTGATCAGGTGAACAAATAAATGTAACGTGATACAATTAATTAAAAAGTATAGTTTGTGTATGATTTTTTTTATATAGAAAGAACAAAATGATGAAATTTTATCTGTTTTTTATTCACTTTGTTGACTTGAAGTTAAGTATCATTAGTCATAAACCCCAGAAAACGGCTATGTACTTTTATGTCTTCGACATGGGAAAATTGATGACCATATAATCTATTGTATTAGTTAATAGTGGAGACAGGTCACATTTAACAATGGGATAAGTCTGACAATTTTATTAAACACTGGACGTAAATAAGGATGTTTATGAATCAATTTTTATAGTTCAGCGATAAATTTTGACTATCAAGATTGAATTGAAAGCAACGATGATTAAGTGTTGATCTCTTGTAGTAAGTTTTATGAGGGGTGATAATAAAAGGATCAATAGCTTCTAAAATAGGTAGTATTAATTTATTTCCCTTTCGAAGTAGCTTCTAAAATATGAATTCTTCCAAGAAAGGACACTTTCCTATCATCAATTTTACTGATATTTAAACAATGATCCCTGTCTTATTGTATAAGCAAATGAATAATCATTTTAAATAATTGAATCGTATCCCTTATTTGCTTTTTCTTTCAGATAATAAATAAAGTTGCATTGTTTTCTATCGTGAAAGTAGTAATGCTATCCACTGAGGACTTATATTGATGCCGGTTAGCATATATGACAATAATATATTATGTTTCCATATTTAATTGTGAATATTTGTTTCCTTGAATTAGATAATAATATATTTGTTTATTAGAAAAAGGTTGATCATGTCAAAAGTGAATTTGTCTCAATATAAATAAAGTTAAAACAAATCATCGAAGTCCATCAATTTCACATATTAAACGGGGATTCATTTTACATGTGGATTTCACTTTTCACATTTGGTGAGGCAATACAACTTTACAACAAATGTTTACTATACTTTTCATTACATGTTAATAAGGTTGTTGCCCAAACGCTATGGAAAATCAGTGATAAAAATATCTAAACCAAACTTTAATTTGGAAAGCATTGGTAATGCTTTCAAGTACAACGTGATTCATGAGGCCAAGTGTGGCAGCTTCAGCCAAATAAGGTCATGCAAACAAAATTAATTTTCAGAATGAGTGGTTCAAAGCACCAATGCCCACATTCTCAATATGCATATCGATTCAATGAATGTGTCCACCTCCATGCCTAGCCGAAAAGCAAGACCAAAATTGCAATTTTCCCTTTCCACTTTTGCCACCAATATCCCAAACCATACAATGGCCAAAGAATCTAAATTATTTACACAATCACACTTTCATATCCTTCACTCTCTTAACCCGAACCCTACATGTTGACCTGGGTACCCGAACCCAAACGGGTCCCCGGAGGAGCCCATTAATAACCGATTCGGATTCTGTTGAAAACACCCATTGCCCTGAGCCCTCACGCCACTCTGAACCTCCTCCTCCATTGACCCCACCGTGAAATCCACGTGGCCAAACGGTGGCACGGAAGGGACGAAAAAGTCATTGCAATCATAATTCACCATCCCTTGGGTTTGACAACCCGACGCAAACTCCGAGTTCAAATCTGTCGGGTTGCCCCAATCCGCAAAAATCCCGGTTCCCATGTTGAGGAAACCGAGCTTTTCATCATGCTGCAGCGTTCTGAGCGAGTTCACGCGAGGCAGCGCTAAACTCCGGTCATCGATTTCCGGCAAGGATTCGAGCATGTCCTCTACGTGGGACGATGAAGAAGGCGATGATCCATTGCTGCATTCTTTACCCCAAAAGCTTAGCTCAGTTTTCTGCGAACTCGAATTCTTCTTATATATACGACACAGAACCCAATCATCCAACTGCATCACACAACAACAGACAACATCGAATTAATAAAAAAAACCATAACATAAATATAAGACTCATGCAATTCTAAGATTAAGATGTCATTATGTTTACAATTGCGGTTGTGAATTGTGTACCTTGGTGGTTCCGATGTTGTTTTTTCTAGAAGAGTCAAGAAGGCGATACTCGTGCATGATCCAATTGGTTTTGGAGCCTTTGGGTGCTTTGCCAATGTAGAAAACAAGTGCTTTTTTTATGCCAACTTTTCTACCTTCGGTGGTGATGATTTTGTCAGTTCCGGTGGCTTTCCAATACCCTGAGCCTGCAACTCTATTAGGCCGTGATCCATTTGGGTACTTTCTATCTCTTGGGCTGAAAAAGTACCACTCTTTCTCCCCAAAAACCGCCTTGCCTACACAACCATAACCACATTCAATTCAAACCGAAAACATATATTTATATATAATTGAATTTAATTAATTATAAATCGTTAAATTAATTACCTGGAAGAACCCATGGATCGAACTTGTACAGGTCAACTTCAGCAATAATTGGTAGAGAAAAATGGTGCCCAGCAACCTTGCGGCAAAGGTACTGAACCAAAAGCTCCTCATCGGTGGGGTAAAATCTAAACCCAGGAGGTAAACTCAATTGTGAAAGTGGGTCTCTCTCTGGAACTCCCATTTTGCTTGGACTAATATCAAACGAACGAATCACGATTACGATGAACAAGTGAAGAGCAGAAAGAACAATAAAAAACAATGTTTTTCTTTGCCTTCGTCTTTGTCTTTTTTTTTCTTCAATAAACTAAGGAGGTGGCGATATTTATATAGCGACAGAGGTCGAAATTTGAGACGTAATCTTTGTCGACTTTGAGTTTGGGCCTCTGAGAATGTGCCACGTCGCAGCTTCGAAAATATTATTATTATGCGGACAACCTTATCTACTTCTCGTACGGTTCGTGGGCTCCTGCGGATTCGGTTCAGTGTATACTACTACTGTTCACAAGCCACACAAAAGAAACCTTCGAATATACTTCTGGTGATAAACTTTAATAAAATAACGTGGCACATTAATATATTTGAAAAAGCACAAATTTATCTTATTATATCAGACATTAAGTATATAGCTTAAAAAATTATTTTAAAATGTACTGCATTGTTATATTAATAAAATCAAAATTTCAAAGTCATATTATAAATTCTTCGAATTTTAATTAAAATAAAAATTCTACTGTAACAATGCTGTCCTGGGAATAAATCTGATGCGCAGAAAGAATATAATCAGTATAGATGATTCTTCAAAGTTTGAAGCCTAATAAGTTATTTATTTATTTAAAAAAGAAATGTATATATGGCATTGAGATAAGGCAAACACGTGTCCGGTTAATAAGAATGTAGGAAAGATATTGGTTTCTATAATTTCAGCGCATATCATTTTTCACGTGTGCTTTTCTCAAATGGCGGTGAACGCGTCCAAGAGAGAAATTGTTTTGGGTCAGTGGAAAATTTCAAAATAAATTATCTTAACAATCACTACTAGTAATATTTATTTCAATATTTTTGAAAAATGAAAATTACTAAAAATTATTATTCAATAAAATTTCAATCATATTATGAATTTCTTTAAGATTTTTGAGTGCATAATTAAAGAATCAGCATCATTTGAGTCAAATATAAAGACATTTTTCGTTTCTGATAGAACAGTGTGCATTTTTGTGAAATCAAGAAAGATAAACATCATTATAAAATCAAACCTTTAAAACTCTGTCACATCAGGAAGATGAAATGGAAAAGCCAAATAATAAATATAGTTATGCGGCTGCACACTCCATTGAGCGACGCGTGGCTAGTAAAATGCAATTTTTTGTTTAATAAAAATTAAATGCAATTATAAATAATTTTAAAATTTATGTATTTAACGCATGTCATTAAAATAAATTTTTTAATTAAAAAAGATAACTAAAAATAGCAGAAGAATTGTCCTTTATTATTCTCCTTTCTTATCTAGTTCTTGCCATTTTGTGGGTTTTGCTCCTTTTTGCTTAGGTGTTTCTTTCACTCATCAACTTCTAAGGGGAAGCTTACATGTATTGATCAATGGTGGGGCTTTGAAGCTTTTCGGTATTTTTCACAAAAAAGAAAGGTAGTGACGTGTTTGGTCAAGGTCAACAATATAGAGTGGTGTGATTCAGTGAACTGTTCTTGCATGATTGATGACGTTTGGGAGTGTTGTGAACGGGGACAACTTTAGCTTTTAGATAGGAAAGAAACGACATAGGCGTGCCTTCAACTCGTTATTATCTACGTTTTCGAGTTAGGTATTAAACAAATCCAAATCAAATTTCTCATTAAAATTTAGTTAAGATTCTGTTGTAAAATTTTAATTAAAATGTCTATACTCACTAATTTATTTATCAGTAGATTCTTCCTTAATTACCTGAATTGGTGTTGTGCCTTTATATGGGTTTTATTCAATATATGATATTATTGTTATTGTTCAAGAAAATTACATTTTTTTTCTAAAATATATTAACCTTTTTATAACACAAGTTTTATAATTTTTAGTTAAAATTTATTGAAACTATAACAACAATAAATTTAATGTGCATAACCAATAATTTTGTAATTTGCAATGAATTTTAGTCAATAATAACTAATTTAGACATTATTTTTATTAAGCTCCTTTAATTCATTTATTAAAGTTGTGTTTATAAATTATTCAAGAAACTGTATTTTGATATATCTCTTGATTTATATAATTACCCAAGAAATCAAGAAAAGTCTATGTTTTTGAGAATGATACATAGTATTATATTATTATATAATTTGCTAAAAAGCAATTAGGTCACGAAACACATAACACTTAATGGTCTATGTATCTGCCCCTCTTCGCAAGAAATGGCTAAAGTAAATGGAATGAATTTGCAACCTCCCTTCAACCACGCTGGTGCTCCAATAATAGATAGCACTGATTTCAAAAATACCCAACCAAATTTGGTCTAAGCTTTTTGTCAATTTGTAGAATTGAGGCAAACATGGACTATACATTTTCACGGATCTAGGTAGCTTGCAGTTTTGACGGAACTACAAGTTGCGGTTTCTTATTTGCTTAACCAAAATAAATTTGTTTAAAATTTTTTTTGACAAAAAGTAATTTTAGCTTAAATAAAAAAAAATTTATTTAAACTAATTTTATTTAAGTCAGAAAAATTTACTTAAACAAAAATAAAAATACACTGTAATATCTTTTTTTTTCTGCGTATTTTTGCTTAAACAAATAAAGATTAAAAGAGTTTGCTCTCCTTTCTTTTATTCCCTCCCACTCAACTCTTATTTCTTTCTTTTTCACCTAACAGTTCTCAATTCATTCCCCTCTTCCATCTGATCTCTCCTATTTTTCTCTCATTTCAATTCAGCTACCTTTTTCTTCTCTCCCTCTCACTTAGTCCTTTTCTTTCCTTCCCTTTCCCATTTCTTCTTCTTTTAGTTCCACTCATTCTTCTTCCTTCTCTCTCCTCATTTAGCCCTCCTTCCCTTCACCACCACTCATCCCCCTTCCCTTCTCTCCTCGTTCAGTCATTTTTCCTTCCTCTTAATAGTCTTATTTTGCTCTTTCTCTTCCTTGTACTCTTACTCCTATCTCTCTCTCAACTTCTTTTTCTCTTTTCTTCTTTTGATTTTTTTTGTCACTTTTTTTAAATTGACTTAAGCAAATTTTGTTTGACTTAAGTCAAAATCACTTTTTGCCAAAAATTATTTAAACAAATTTGTTTCGTTTAAGTAAATAAAAAAATGTAACCTACAGTTTACACTAAAACTGCAGGCAATCCAGATCTAAATTTTCACTAGCTTTTACAGTTTCACCTGTTATGCTGGTACATTGCACTATTCAACCTATGAACAACATAAGCTAAATATATTTGTCATTCATACACTGTAGCATTATTGGGTTATTTAGGCGAGGCAATGATTTTATTGGAAAAAAGAGGTTATTTTTTGCTTATCCTATTGAATAAAATTTATTTACCATTCTTTAAAAATTTTTGGTGATATTTATTAATTAAAATTAGTTTTATTTTAATAAAAATTTATATTTAATATTATTTTATATTGTTAAAATAAAACTTTAATTTTAATTGAAAAATAATTCTCACAGCTCATAAAAACTTATATCCAAACTTTTTCTTTCAATATTATTATCACGATGGGTTCACTAGAATGGGTTAAAGAGATATTATATACTTATTTCGTTGGTTAATGTGATATGCTTTAGCCTCTAGGTTTACCTGTGATCATGTTACATGGCTTCGGAGATTGAGGTTTTATGGTCAAATATGTGTGGCTTCGATTTCAAGGCATAGCAGAAGTCATGTGTTTCCCATTGAAGGACCAAACACACAAAAGGTGAGAGTTTAGGAAAGAAGAAAGTGTTCATGTCGAAAGCTTAGAAAATACTACACAAGTAATCGCGAATATTTCACTTCTCTACCCTGATATACAAATCCTTAATATCCTGCTGTCACTAATTTTACAAGTTGATCAAAATGTTTTTTATTGATCAAGTTGATCTAAAATCTATGGGACCAAGATGTTACATTATAAAAATTCAATTTAAAGGAATAACAGGGAAGGTTTGTAGTCACAGTGGTAGAAAATTTCTAAGCAAAAAATAAAAAGATAAGACAAATGTCGAAAAGTGAATTTGATAATTGATTATCCAAACAAACTGAATTTTCTTTTTAACAAATAGGAAGTGAATTTCTGCAATTTAATTTCATTATATTTTTATTTCCTTAATATTTAAAATTCTTTTGTCCAAATACAACACAAGGAAAGTGTTTGACAGGTCTCTTACTAGCAAATCGTTTGGCCCCATCAATGAAAACCTTAAAATATATTTATCTAAAGAGGTAAACTAGAGCAATTTTTCATTTATCTTGGGAGTTAAGAAATAGCATTGATTCACAAAAGCAAATAAGGTTAATCTCCGTACCTTAAAAAGTGTAAAAGGCTCTGGCCATGACAAATCGAATATTCCATAAGGTTAAGTTGATTTTTAATTATTCAAAAAGTATATTTATAATATTTTGTGACATTTTTTTACTATTTAATCGGTAGCTTTAAAATACTGATTAATATTAGTTTAATTTTTATATATTTAATACAACATTTAATCTCTTATTTTATTCTTTTTATCACATTATATATATATATATATTTTTTTTTTTTCTCTTTTCTTTCACTAAAAATATATACTCATGAACATATAGCAACCTTTTTTACTTTGTTTAATACGTGCCTTGGACGCAAATATTATTTGGTTTCTTTATGAACTTTGGATGCACAATCATATACAATCGTCTGCATTTTTGGACTCCCTTATCCATAGTACTATATTACTCCTTCCCCACTAGTTAACTTTACTTCTTTCCTATCCAGTTTTGTTTTCATTGGAATAGTTTTATATGGGGGATATTGAAAGTAAATAGAGTTTAGTTAAATTAGGTTTGTCTTAAACTTGATTTAATAAGAAAAAAGTTCATTTTATACTAACTATTGAGTCAAACTTATGAAAGCTAAAATTCAAGTCATAAGGTGGCTCAACTCATTCTTAACCTTATTTTTATTTCACAAGGCGTTCTAAATTTTGAGCAAATAAAGAGGAGTAAAATCGAAATGTAATAAAGTTCAATATCAAGAACACATATCAACAGTAAATCACAATTGTCATCATATGAACTAAATATTGGTATTGACGTGTTGTTAGTTATGAGTATTAATTGACTACTTGAATACAAAAAAAAAATTATATTTTTGAAAAAAAAAATGTCGTGATCACACTTTTGTTTGTAAAAAGAAACATTAACATAGTACATTTTTTTTACGCTTTAACACAATTTTTTCTTATTGGATAAAATACATGTGACCCTCACCAAATAATGTGACTTTCTTTTTTATGAAATATCAAATAATTTGAGTTTAACTTCTTATTTAAGAACTCTGGCTTGCTCTCTATCTTATTGATCTTTTCTATTATTATACGCAACACCGAGCTATACCCATATGATCTTGGATGAGGAGTGTATAATCTAAGACCAATGTAAAACAACTCTTCATTTTCAGCTTCGACATTGACTTTGAGACATTATTTTCCGGCGCATGATATTTTTGTTGAGACTTTTGCACATAGTCAACACATTAAAATAAAATTAAACTAAACCAAATTATAGTGAAACGGGATTGGAGTATGAATATCTCCTTAGTTTTGAATTTGAGCAAAATTATTGAAAATATGAGATGCATCCCAATTTCCAAATGATCACACCATCGTTGTCCAGCTGGGTAGCTTTTACATTCAACCAAACCCTGATCTATTTGTGAGTCAGAAGTCTGTTAAATTCATGCCTTGAAGAAGAAAGCACGCCCCAATAATTGACTGTTCTATAAACATCAATTATTTGTAACATATGTCCACTGTTTTCAGATTTCCAAAGTGTACTAGACTAGATTCGTATGACATGCTAACACTGTTCAATAATGACGATTTTCCCATGTGTCATATGTCAATGGAAAATATAGAATGCTCTCTTTCATTATAATAAGCGGTGAGTCTTTGATGGAGGAAATAATTATAACAATGGCAGTGTACAAATTTCCAGTCACCAGAATATGTGAGGAGTAATTAAAAGAAACATTTGGTACGAAATAAATAACATAGACACAGCACACGATAAGATATTTAACGTAGAAAACCTTTCAAATTAAAGGAAGCTCCCCTATAATATAAACACACACAATAATTCGAAGATATGTTTTTTATTCTTGTAATTTTGTGACCCTTTATTTTATTTTTTAAATTTTCGTTTAATTAATCGTTATATTTTATAATTCTTTAGCTACAGTTTACCTTACTAACATGATTTTAATAATAATCAAAAAATGCACAATGGGCTTGTAGTTTGGGGGCCATATCCATATAAAATTGAAACCCAGATACAACGGCCTTCATATATTCATATAAACACTGTTGACCAAAAACAACTGTTAGTCTAATATATTTTGCTAGTACAAACTCAAATGGAAATGTTTATGTAGTGTATTTTTTAAATAATTTTTACAATATTAACTTAACATATGTTTTTTATACTGAAGATTATTTTATTCTAAATATTATTACATTTTGTTACCTAAAATGATTTCAATCCATGAGTTAGTAATTATTATAGTTGCAAGATAGCTCGAGTTTTGGAACTAGCAATGCATAATCATCAAACTGGGTTCAACCATCTTATCAATCCCACTTCCTCTTTCCTCTCTTTCTTTTTTCCAGTTGAAAAAAAATTGAATTTTAAATTTATTTTTAAGGATATATAATAAGAATTTATGCCTAATATTTTTTTATTAAAAATTATAACTTATAAGATATTACTTATCATGTGAGAAGATGTATGTATGTGTAAAAATACTTTTTCAATCACCATCACTATTAACCCAACATAGCTATCACATGTTTTCTTTCTAAGCTACTAAAAGTTTACATAATTATCCAGTTCCTTGTGCATACATCTATTGATGGTATAAAAGGACAAGAATAAATGACTCAGAAAAGTCTAGTACTACTACATTACAATAAAAGAGAATTCTACTGTGCCAATTACTTTGTCACCCCAACCCTCATAAGAGCAAAATAAGCCACTAGTCTAAAGCCAATTAGCATTATGAATAGAGCCAATGCAGCCATGATTTGCCCTTCAAAATGTAGCCCCATTTGCTTTATCATTGGAAATTCAGCAACCAAACATTGTCCATCAGAACATGGGTATGTGTCATTAGTGTCATACTGAGACCCCACCAAGAGCTTGTATATGTAGTGGTTGATGGAGATGTACTTCAACCATGCTATAAATTTTGGCACATGTTGAACATAGTATCCACCAACTAGAACAAAACTTAGCATGATCACTGAGGCAAGTGTGGTTGCTGATTTCTGATCCATTACAACAGCACCAATTGCAAGGCCCATTCCTTCTGCAACTAACACATTGAGTAGGACACTGAACAATGTGTATAAAAAGTTTACCACATTAGCTTTCAGGCCTGCCATCCAATAGTTTATGATAAGAAATATGGTGGGAAGCACAAGCTCCATTGGAAGGTCACCTACCGCCATTGACATGAAATAGGAGGAGAGTCTGTACATTCCAGAGGATCTTTCCTTCTCCAACATTGTTAGCTCTCGGGGGAAGGTAAATATTGCATGGTAGAGAGGCATGGCACCCCAGAAGCTAGAAATGAAGAATAAAAGTCCAATCTGCAAGTACATAACAATTGAATTATGACTATTATTATTAGCTTACAATTAGTATAGAATCATAGTCATTCATGATTTAATTAAGAGTAAATTACACTTTATCTCCATAGAGCTTCACGCTTTCTCAATAACCCTTATGCTTTTTTTTCGTCTCACTAAACTTCTTATATTTCTTTTTAACCTCCTATAATGTCACTTTTTGTATCACTTTGCTTCCCATATGGAGTTTATTGACTAGAAAAAAGTATAGGAGGTTACATTCAAAAGGCATGAAACTGGAGGATAGAGTATAATGTGTCCATTAATTGATTTAGTTTTCTGATCAGCTATATTATTACATAGTAATTGTTCTTATTTAAATTCAGGCAATCATTATGTATTAGAATTACATGCTTTCAGAGAAACTATATTCACATTTATTTATTTATTTATGGGAAGTTCAAATTTACTTAAAATTGAGCTAAACTTCACATCTTAGGAGCACAAAAGTGACAATCTTACTTATTTATTGAAAATTCTTACCTGATCCCGCAAATGTGAAATATCGGATTTATACCATAGTAATCCTGAAATAAGAGCAGCTACAAGAATCTGACAAATCCGCATGCCAGAGAATGATTCATATTTTCTCTCTTTGACATTTCTTTTCAGCAGCACAAGGAATTGTTGCGACCAACTATTTGGCCATTCACCAAAGCCACTGTCTTCAAATTCACCCTGACTTATATCATAATCAGGAACTTCATAGAGAACCGGCTTCAATTTGGCATTGAAGTAGTTCTTGTATGAAGAAATCAATATATGCTTATTTGAGGCATGGTCTTCATTCGGTTGATTAGTATAGACACCTGCAATTTTTTTTTGCCCATGTGGCCAACTAAGAAAGTAAAGCACAAGATCAAGAATTTTCTTTTAAATAAACATAAATCTATTAGCATTAGAGTACCTAAAGTACATTAATTAGAAAGAGTTCATCTCAGTTCTAAGTTTGAATTCTATTAATGTTGTAAACTATAAAGGTTAATTTATCCAAATATAAGTAGCTGCAAATAGAAAAATGATATTTTGAACTTTTGTCCATGCAAAAATGAAGAATAAAGATTCATAAATAACAAAGAAAAACTCAAGGTTATAAAATAAGACAAATGATTTCCTTTTATATTTGGATGTATTTTTGGAATGCATATATAAAAAAAAAGGAAAAAAGAGAGAGATAGAAACAATTGTATACAGTATCACAGTGTTAATTTTTAGTTTTTAGTTGTTCAAATAACAGAACTGATATAGAGCAAGCAACATACCATTTGCAAGATCCAAAAGAAAATCTGAGGGGTTCATGGCCATTATAGGGGCATATCCAATATTTGAAAAGTATTCAATAGCTTCAGACCCTTTTCCAAAATACAATAGGTTTCCTTCTGAAAGCAATAACACTCTATGAAACATATAGTATATCCTACTTGAAGGTTGATGTATTGTCATCACAACAGTTCTCCCTCCATTTGCTAGCTCCCACAAAGTTAAGACAATTCTTTGTGCAGTTGTTGAGTCTAGGCCAGAGGTTGGTTCATCAAGAAACAACAAGCTTGGGTTTATGAGCATTTCTTGTCCAATACTAACCCTTTTTCTCTCACCACCAGAAACCCCTCTTAGCAATGGCCCTCCAATGATGCTATCCTTGCACTTGGTTAAACCAAGTTGATCTATAACCGCTTTTGCGTGCACAATTTTCTCTTCTTTGGTTAAACTACTTGGCAATCTTAGAAGGGCAGTGAATACTAGAGTTTCAGTCACAGTCAAGTGGGGATAGAGAACATCATCTTGTGTAACAAAACCAGTGCTCCTTTTCGTTGCACTTGAAAAGGCTTTTCCATTGTATGTTATGCTTCCATAGAGTTTCCCTCCAAGCCTGCCCCCCAATGCTGCTAGTAGAGTTGTTTTGCCACTTCCAGATGGACCTAACATGGCCAGAATTTCACCAGGTTGAACCATGCCTGTCACTCCATTCAGTATTACTTTCTCTTCTGCCTTTGTGTTCTTCTCAAGCAATCCCCACTTTTTGGTCTTAATTTTATAGACAACATCATGAAACTATGCACAGTAAATAAATGAAAAAAGAAAAAAAAAATCAGCATTGATCAATATTAAAATGAGAGACTAAAGCTAGAGAATTAAGCACACGGGAAACACCAATAACACATCCGTGCACACGCTATTTTAAAATGATATCAATTTATGAGATGAGCACTTTGACTTTTTAAAGAATTCATCAATCACCAGAATGTGTTATTAGCATTTCTCCTAAGCACAAATATGGGAGGGGTCTAAGAAAGAGAGCAAAATCATCATAATTTTCGATTGGCTTAAATCTATTTCATGATTTTGGCTTATATTTTCCCAGCAAAGATTGAAGAAAAGGACTACATAGAAGTCTTAAAGAAATAAAATGATTATGAATTCATCAGAGACTACAAACCAGAGATTAATTTTTCCACCATGTTAAAAATATAGTTCATTTGAAACATATACTTGTGTGGCTAGACTTTAATTACGAGAACATAGAATTTTTTTGAAGTTAAGCCATGCATAGAGGAAGATAATGATCATAATTATGAGTTAAACCCTTCTTTTTAATCACAAAACCTTTACTGTTACTGGAGGATTCCCTTTGTGAAATATGTCAGGCACTTCCTCTTGCACTCTGTAATTAGTTTGAGACTCTCTGTCTTGCATCTCCTGTTCCATATTCACTTGCAACTTTCAGAGACTCACCTTTGAAACCCTCCCAATTTGTGTCACTCTATATAAGAATAAAGGATTTGAAAAATGACATAATATCTCAATGATGAGATAACCTCTCTATGACTCTGCTAGCAGCTGTAACTTCTTTTTAAGTATTGATTCTTTTCAGAATATTGCAAGTACGTGCTTATTGTCTATAATGCTAGTATTAGTACACTATAGTTGTCACGCAATTCTGGCACATCAACGTGGATCTTGGACAAAGAAATAGGTTTGTTCATTTGAGAGATAAATTGAAAAGAGGGAGGAGAGAGATTTAGCTTTGGAAAAGAATAATCTCTCATTAGCAATTAGTTGGTTTCAAATTCTGGTTGTATTTATACTGACACTTAGCTGATCAATCTTAGGAGCTTTTCTTATTATTATATTTTTGCATAATTACTCATTTTTATTTAAACTTCTTAACAATATTATAAAAAATATTAACCTAAGAGTTGAGTTTAAAGAATCAAAGATAATAAGATTTTATTATAAAAAAAAATATTTATTGTGTTTTTATAAATGTTTAAATTCAATCCTTAAAATTGAAGTTAACAAAATTTTTAATGTAATAATAAAGGTCGGTTTTAACTAGAGATAAACTTAAACGTTGTAATTAATTTTTAAAATTAACATATTAACTATTTCTAATTAACCTTTCTTAATATATGTGATTTAATTAAAAAAGTGTATCTATTGTCACTCTCATTTAAATATTTTTTTTTCTAAAGAACACTTTTTTTCTTTTTTGTAACTATAATAATAATAATAATAATATATAATTTTTATAATAATAATAATAATAATAATAATAATAATATGAAAGTATTACTCAACATTCTCTTAATTAAAAGTTTCTTATAAAAAGAAGCAAAAGGAATACTTTTCTTAAATGTTTCTTCTTCCTCCTTTCCTTCCTTAAACATCATACCTACACTTGCCAGCCTCATTTCTCAATATCCCACAGACAACAAGGTCTGACAGTTGAAGCAATAGCTTATTTTAATTAGATGATTGGATGTTGATTGGATTGTCTTGTGAAGAGGACTTAGTTGATATTTTTAGATAATTTTCTCACATTCTCTTCATTACACGCAATTATGTGGTTTGGACTTGATGCGTGCAAATTGTACAAATAACTCATTTTGGATTTCAATATTTACTGAATAGTGTGGACAGTAACGATCCAAGTCTAAACCACTTGGTCGTGAATCTTAAATTGTTACAATTCTATATTATATTACATGTCTAACAAGTAACCCCTTAAACCATACCAGTAAAAATGGAACGGAAAAGTAAAATTCCAACCATTACGTGTTCACAAAATTAATGATGCATGGCATCTATAGCAATTTTCTGAATGAATTAAGCTATTATAGAACGATGAAAGAAAGAATGGTAGTCTCAGCTTATCATGAAGTTATTAATCATTCATTTTAATTTGGCCTTTTAATTAATTTCAAACTAATGTGTTCTTTATTAGACGAGGTAAAAGAAGTTCATTTCTTATACGGCTTTTAACATAAAGGCACAAGTCAATTCGCATTATGTACATAAATAGATTGGATCAATCTTTAAACTTAAAAAAAAATTGTCTAAAATTTAAAGTTTAAACCATTTCATTTAGTGGACTTAAAGCTCTAACTTCTGCATCTCTGATTGATTATATACATTATTTTTAAAAAACATGCAAGTACACTAAGTATACCTTGGTTTATAATATGGTGATAAACCTACCTGAAATAACTGTGGTCCCAATTCAAAACCATAGAGATTAGGAAACTTCATTCGAGAATGTGTCGTTATGGCTGAACATTTATGGGTTCACTTCTTTCTCTAAATGCACACAAAATTTATCGCCAGAAGGTAGAAAATTGGAGTCCCACTAGAACTCAATGTTGGGGCTAAAAAGATAATCTTTACATTTTAGAAGTAACGGAAAGAATGTCACAACAGGGATTAGAGTGAGGGGTCATAGAATTGAGTTTAATTAGTCCGTTCCAACCATTAATATTTCAGATTGTTGCCTGTGTTATATTGGCAATTGGTTCAGAAGATTTTGAAAACCTTATTCTCTTGAAGACGTAAAAACAAAAGAAGATAAAAAAAGTGCATAGCATTGTGGGATTTGTGGGACTGTTAAGGACGGTTCACTTGTTAAAAGAAAAGGGAGTTTGTTATATATAGAATATCATAAGCACAGCGTAACTTTAGTGCTTCAACATTTTGGCAACTTAGATGGAGATTCCTTGTTGGATTTAAAATATTAGTCTATAATTAATTTTTTTCTAGTCATGTGTATTAATTTTTAAATTTTTTTGTTGTTCTTTCATTTAAGGGAAACCACAAACAATACCATTTAAAATATACCTTACCCTAATATCTTAAGAGATAAGTTGTTTTGACTAAGACTTGCTTAAAATTATTATAAAATATTTAATAGGAAATACATAAATATAAATGTACTTTACTTGATGTATACTAATGTACTTTATTAAAAAAAAAAAAAACTTTTGATAACAAAAAAAGTTTTATAATAAGAATACTTAAATGCATCTGACGTAAACTAATAGGTTTAAAGATACACAAAGAAATACACTTTTATACAAAAGATAAGAGATTAAAAATATAGGTGAATATTACAATTTGAATTAAGCATTTTGTCTATATAAAATTTTGTTTTAAGTCCGGAGAGGTGTAGAAAAAAATAATTGAAAGTGAATTTATCTGAAGAGAGATTTGCAACAATACTTGGATTCATTTAACCTAGAGAGACTTGTTCTATTATGATTGGATAGCAAAATATTGAGTCTATATCTCTAGTTTGAACAGTTGAAAAATTAATAAAAGATTAAAATTAAATTAATTCAATCATATTTACAAAAAATTAAAAAAAATATTTTATCTTAATTACAGTTATTAGATATTTATGTCCTTGAAATACAATAAGGAACTTAAGCCTATGGCACAGATAATTACTAAGGAAGAATAGTTACAGAGCAGCAAATTATTCTGCATGATGTGCTCTAAAGAGCAGCTGGCAAGTCTGGATGCTGCATCTGCTCTTCATCCTCAAGCTCTATTAAGCTCTTGATAATGATATCAGAAGCACTGGTCACAATATCGGAGAAGTTCCTACATTTTATCAAGAAAAGGAAAATATATGTATATGAGTTTAACTTTTATATGGAAATTTTCCAAGTACTGAAACGAAGAATATAACAAACATAATGAAGTTAGATGTGTAATCCCTTATCTACTTTTTTCCCCACTATCGAATATGGTGCTTATATATAGCCCTATTGGGTGTAAAATATCCTCACTTATACATGAGTGTCTTAATCCCTATATATTATATAATTTGTCTTAAAAGAATATGTACATATTTTACTCTTTAAATCAAAAGAAACTGTCAATGAGACAAAAGAATAAAACAGATCTTGACGAGTAGGTTTGATGTAGAGATGTAGAAAATGATGATGAGAAAAATTATGTTAGCAGAAACCAATACACTAAATTATCATTTTTATTGTTGGGTGTGTTTGTTGTCATTCCTTTGTGTGTATTGTCTCTCTTTCTTTAAGCAATTTTTTAAAAATTATTTATATTTTAAATGTAATTATAAGAGAAAAATGATATTTTAGACAAATATTAGTTTAATAGAAGTGATAATAAACATTTTAGAGTGCCAATAGACATATCTTTACTTTTTTTTTCTTTAGTTCAATTCAACATGGAAGAAAAAACTCAAATTAAAAGAAAAAATAGTGTAAAGAATTAAATTTATTAAAAAATTTATAATTAAAAAACACATGATAATTATTATTACAGCATGCAGTAAATCACAATTAGATTAAAAAAAAGAAGGAAAAAAACATGATTTTTTCAGCACCGATTCGTAGAATTAAGTTTGTATATTTAAAATAATATATTTTATTAAAATATTTATCATATTAAAGATACAAAATTAATAAATAAGTTTATTTTTTTTTACAAAAACTCACATTAGCAATCGTTTAAACTCAGCCTTTAATCTGAAATACGAAGTTAACAAAACTGATCGTAGAAGGGTGTTTTTATTTTCTTTCAAATTCCTACAGAGGAAACATGCAATATGTGTGATGCCGTTTATGAAAAAGGATTAATTAATCCCTATGCAAGATATAAAAATGGTGCAAGGAATAAAACACAAAAGAAGAATTATTCTGTCAAATTATACCCTTCTGAAGAGTTGAAGGTGAGTCCCACAGTGTTCTTTGCTTCATCAAGAGCAAATTTGAAACGCTGATGGTTCTCAAGGGTCCATTTTTTGTTCTTGATGACACGTAACTGAGATGGCTTAATGTCACAGAAGATGGGTATCACCTTCTTCTTGCACTCCATGAGAAGGGCCAACTCATGAAGGCAAAAGTAGGACTCACAGTAACGTGGTGAAATGACAGCCAACCCAACCTTGCACTGCAGGATTGCACTGTTGATTTTATCAAACAGTTTGTCCCCTGGCTTCATGTTCTTGTTATCCAAGAAAGGGTGAAAACCTAGCCTGCTTGCTAAAGGAGACTAATCACATTTGAGAATGAGTTAAATAAACTTTATCATACATAATTTTTTTCTATAAAAGAATTAGAGTTTATATATGAATAAATCTTGAGTGTAGCATCTTAAGTTCTTCTAATATTGTTCTTTAATTCAAATTAGACATGCATTCTTTTTTTCTATCGCTGACTTTAATTGCATAAATTATTAGTCAACATAAAAATATAACTTTAACTAAAGAAAAAAAGTTATAAATACCTAAGGTATCACACTTGACATATAAATTTTACTCCCTGTGTATGTAATTAAAAAAAATGAGAATGAGTGGGAACCTGAATAAACTACTCCTTAGATCTTTGAAATTATATAAGTATTATTCATTTTTATTTTTTGACTTCATAAAAACATTAATTCTTAGCTTTATAAAATATTATAAAATTTCATTCATGAAATGTTATAATATACTATTTTATATGATAAGGGACTAAAGTAATTTTTTTATATATAAAATTAAGGACTAAAAAAGAATACCACTTATATTCATAGATACTAAAAGGGTAAATTTACTGGCTTGAACCTACTACTCTTATCACCCTTTAAATAAATTCATCCTTGCCTGCAGAGATGATCATACAGAAGAGTAGCCACAGTTCTTTTGGTGTCCATGCTTCTATGGTTTATGAACACGTCACAGGGCTCCAAAATAACACGTTTTGCCAAGACCTGATTCACACGGGTTTGTTTGTGCTGGCTGAAAAACCTGTGTTGAATGTTCATTGACAATGAACGATGCATTTTGCTATTGCTTTCTTCCAAAGAAGCTATATATGACAAGAGATGCCTTTTAACTAGGCCTTTCTAAATTTGCTTCTCTTTCTTTTGTCTATTTAAACTTTTGTGTGCTACGGTAATATGTACTTTTATAGAGTTTTGGTTATTGAATTTTATATTCTCCTTTTGGTTTTTTCCTTTTGTCCTCTTCTGGATATCAAAGTATCAAACATTGATATATATTTTTTATATAACAATGTAGATCATAATTAGTGAGGATACCAGAAAATTTGACTCTACAGGCTCAATACTGAGTAAGAAACCCTTCAAACACGTTGGTGATTTGTACGTTGACATGTTCTTCTCTCACAAAAGTTTAAAATATATTAAAATATATCTATTAATTAAAAATATACTCAAAATAATTTTTTTATAAATCTTAAATAATCGTAATACTTTAAGCTTATTTTTAAGAATAAGTTAGATTTTGTTTATTTTTAGTATGTTATTAAAGCTCATACAGTCTCAATATTAACCGATAAAATATGTAGTCTTATAAATTTCACCTCTTGATTATAACTCAGTAGAAGGAGTTATGTTAAGATGTTGTATATTTAGAGAGTTATATATTGTCTAATTTTAATAAAATAAAATAAAATTTATTTTCCTTTTAAATTTAAAGTAAATTTTAAGAACGACAAAAAGAGCAATGTTCTATACTATAATAAAGCATTAACTACGTACCGTACATGTATCCTTCATTTTTCACATACTTTCAAAGTATTTTCGCCCTTTCTACGCATATAACTTTTTTATATTTTCCTCGCGGGTTTGACCGTCTACTCCTTAAATTAGTCAACCATTTATGATCATCCTCAGTGGCTTGTGATCTGTTGCATATAAGTGATTAAGAGAGAAAGGGATTCATTAGAGTGTTTTAAATTAATTGACAATTTCTAGTCATAAAAGATTCCTTATCCCTAATTGATCCAAAACACCTACCAATATCAAAATAAAACGAGATAAATGAACAAAATTATTTCAATTATAACAAGAGTTTAAACATGTCTATTGTCATTCTTTGTTTTTATTAAAGTAATTTTTATCTAAAGTATTATTTTTTCTCTTATAATTATATTAATAATAGAGATAGCTAGTTTAAACAAAAATCATTTAAATAAAAGTGGCAATAGAAATATGTTTTATTTTGTTGCATGATCAATGTATTTTATATGTTCTCTATAGTGAGGCAACTCCACGGGAAATTATCATCAATTTTGGAATGTGATTAAGTGTCAGACAGAGAGCATTTCAGTGCAGGATCTTCTGCTTAGATTCTATGATTCCTTGGAAAAACTTAACCTTGCTGATTAATTAGAAGAAAATTTAAGTTTTTAATTAGAATTGGGTTGTTTCTATTTAATTAAGCTGGACTGCGCGTAAGACTGTTCAACTGTATTAGCCTTTTTATTCCCTATTTTGTCACCTTCAGATCCCCTTTATTTCCGAGTACATGAAGCCTTACTTTTACTACAATTTATTACGCAAATCAACCTCAAGTTCACACTAACTTAAAGCACATTCTCTAGCGAAATTCTAAATTCTGTCATAAATCTCCATTTTATATCTGAATAATCTTGAATTATTCATGAGTTTCTTGCGATCAAAGAAATGTTTACTAGCATATCATCCTATCTGGCATCTAGCTAGTCGTGGTATGTATAGAGTAAAGAAACAAACGAAACAAGTTAAAAGTAGAAACATGGACTTAATTTCTTAATTAGTTCGATCTCATCTAAAATCCTACGTGCCATGGATTCAAAATTCAATTACCATATTTTATTATTGGATAAGTATTCCAACGATACAAATAGTGATTTGTTTATATCGTTTTGGTTTTTGTGTGGCTCTGTTAACACACTTAAGCCACGTAGAATGGTTTCAATTTCTCATGTGAATTTCATTATGTGGCTCAAATTAGGATAAAATTCATGAATGTGCTTCTGTGATCATATAGTAAATAACTTGAAAAAGAGTATATGCTCTACTGCTCCTTTTAGGCCTATGTCTTGCTCAATATTTTGGGAAGCGCTTTACCTTTGTCTAATATTTGGTCATAGAAGAGTGAACCTGTATGGGCACTTTGCCTATATGAGATTTTTTACCTTATGTCTTGTATTGTATTGACATCAAAACTTCATGGAAATTAATACATAGTAGGAAATTTAATTTATTTATTTTTTACGAAAATCAATTACAAATAGCATGCAGTGATTTCCACTCAAGTCTTACTTATTTTTATTCTTTGATGGGTTTATCTAAGTTACATAATGGGATAAATATTTCTATCTTGGGTGAATTGATGAAGTGAGGTTGTATTAAAATTTATTTAATTGTTTATAGACAAAAGTTCATTAATTCACTTAAAATGAAATTATTTACTAAATAGGAGAACCCTTCTTTAACATATTATTATCGAATTAAAATATCAACTACTTTATTTTGCAATACATTGATACAAAACACTTTCATACTATACAAGAGCAATTCTCAAACCTAATGTGAAGTTAATCAAACTAAACATATACAGTATCACTTATGTATATGTAGATACAATATTATGAACACACGACTCAAAATTCAAATGAAACATGGTAGCAAGAAACTAGCATACTAGTAATGCTAGGAGAGTGTGATGATTGTGAGAGGAAGAGGCATAGAAATAGTTCATGGTATTGGGTAAGATTTATTATTACACATGCATCTATAAGATATAGGGCATGACTTAGCTTCATCGGTGGGTAAGGCACAATCTAAGCTAACAGTTACTAATCTACATGGGGAGCACGAACCACAAGCGTGCAAGCAATCTGGTAGTCTTGACCCTGCAATTTGAAGTGTTTTACCCCTCTTGATCCCTACCCTTTCACTTTTCTCATCCTCCATTTGCTTCATTTTATTTTCTCTTTCACTAAGTAACCCATTTGTGCTTGAATGTTTAAATTGATCGTGATCATGATGAAGAATAGCTGTGCCAACTGCCAAAGATAAAAATGTACAATCACAATGAATAAGTCGCACACACATTAATGAGTCCACCAAAGCCAACGACTATTTAAAATTAAATAAATAAAGAAAAGAAAAAATGTGTATTTTACTTGCACGTATGATAAATTAATTGCCCTAAAGTTTAAGTCTATACGTAAACCTAAGACACATGAATGATTTTATATGATCGATCTCTCATACAAGAGTCCATTGAATTTAAAGCATGAATAGTGCATAAATTCACATTTTACTTACTTTGTACGAAAGTTCCTTTTATAATTAGAAGAGTAGGAGAGGTACGATAAATCGTTTGCTCATAAAGGTTCTCATATCATATCAAGAATCAACCATATTAAAAGATCAAGCTATTGGGTAAAAACATATATAGCATACGCCTTTCCTTATATTAGAATACTTTAAAAGAAAAATCAAGTGATTCTCTCTATTACCTACATCATATTTTATAATTATATAAGAGTGGGATAAGTAAGATAAATCATTTGATCATAGAGGTGGTAATATTATATCATGAATTAATTATCTCAAAAATTAAATTATTAAGTAAAGAATAAAGGTATGTTTAATTTCCCTTCTAAAAATAGTTTTTTTTTGTTTTTAAAAAATATAGTATAAATTTACACTGTATTTTTTTAAAAAAATAAAAAAACTATTTTTAAAAGAGAAATTAAACATGCTATAAATAATTTTTTTGAGAATTTTGTACGTAGTCACAAGCTTTGGAAATAAAGTCTACACATAGAAAATGTATTAAGTAACAAAATATACGAATACCTACCCCATATATATATATATATATATATATATATAAAGTAAAATATATTTTAAATTTTTATAAATATATTTAATTGAATTTTAATCTTTTGATTTTTAAAGGAGTCTGTTATTAGTAATTTATAATGATATGACATTTTTACACATGTCACATCACTTGTTCACATTATTTATTGCAAATTGAGGAGTATAAATTTATAAAAATTAAAATTGATAAAAGATTAAGAAAAAAAACAGAATTTATTGGGATTGTAGTAGGATTTGGAATAGACAGACCTGCACTTAGTGAATCCATTTGCGTAGCAAAGATGGTGGCCAAAATAAGGAAAGGCACGAGAAATGTAGCAATGCAAAGAGAAAATCTCATTGGTATGATTATATTTAAAGTGAAGAAAAATAAGAACAGTTAATCTTTGAGGCAGAGAAGGGAAACTATATATAGAGAGAAAGATCCCAAAAAGGGCATTGAAGTGTGTCACAGACATTACAGGGTGTGTCATAAGGGTGCAGAGGTAAATTAAGGTCACATGAAAAAGGGTGATCCACCTTCATTGCTTCAACTTACTCACAAGTTTTTTTATTTTGCACTGAATCGCCCTTTCTCTACAATTTTGTGTTACATATACATCAATGGAATCCATTGCTCTCAATGGAAAACACACGTGAGAACATAAAAGCCTCTAGGAACATCCATAATTACACAAGAGAATTTTTTTTTTCCCTTTAATTGTAATTTTTATCGTTCTAATTTGATTTTTGTATATTTTTTTTTATAAAATTAAGTCTTACTTTAACATTAAATAAATTTAGTCTTGCTCACAGTTTTGTGTATATTTTCTACTCAATATATTAATAAATAAAATAAATTGCTTTAAACCTTTACTCAAAATTTATCAACTAGAATCTCAATTTTGACGACGATAAAAGAATCACAAATTTTTCCTTTTCAAATCCTATCTCATACTTAATAAAATCCGTGAAGTTTATCTATTTTGTTAAACTTTTTACTTTTAAACTTTTAAAATTATTTTATCCCCAAACTCATCATAATTCCAATATTTGAAAATATTTTAAACAGAAGAAATTTGATGGTAATAAAACTACTTTTTTTTTTTAATTTTAAAAACAATTCTCGTGGGCTATTTGGGCAAGGTTGTCGTGGGCATTTGGGGCTTGCGATTTCTTGGGCTTAGCGTGATAGCATTTATATATGAAAGAGAGATTTGACCAAAACCAATATTAAAAAAAAAACACAATAGTGGGCTTTCTTAGACATATGTAGTATGGGTGACACACAACGTGTCATTTTTTAACATCTCCACACGTGTCTTTTACTTTTTATTTCATTCACCAAAAAAAGAAAAATCACTCAAAAATTCCCAATTGAAAAATGAAAATCTCTTTTTGACCAAAAAATAAAAATGAAAATTTCTCCTTGTAAAGTAAAGTAGTAGGTTAACTTGAACTAAATCTTGTTTTCAAAGGATTTAAATTGTAATGCCCTGAGGTTGTATTGTGTTTCTATTGACTTCTTGTTTAGCTCTAACGTGACCAATGACATGCTAATTCTTCTTTTGGTTAAGTTTGTATCTGAAAGGTTAAACCAATAATGAGAAAGGAACAAAGATGTGTAATTGCATCAAAACAACTTTGATGGAGAAATATCATAAGTTGCTTAAATTTGATCTTTTATAAGTTTTTTTTTTATGATTGCTTTTATTTTGTGCATTTTAAGTTTTCTTTTACACTCCAGTAATTCAACTTTAAATGAGTCCCATAAACTACATCACCTCTCTGATTTTCATTTTATTTTTAACTTCAAATTTTAAACCATTTTTTAAATATAAAATGTGTATAATAATTATAAATGTAAAAAATTTATTTCTTCTAATTTATTGATGAAATACTTTATTTGTAAAAAAAATTAAAATAATAGTAAATTTTCAATAATTAAAATGTATTGTAGTTAACAGTTTTACTTATTTCGCAAAGACCCAATTAAAAAAAATCTAGAACAAGGTAAACCATGCTCTTTGTGCATTGACCCAAAGAAAAGAAACCATAGGACAGTCGATAATTATAATTCTGAAATCACTGTTAAAGCAAAAGCTTTCATAGCTCAGTTGGTTAGAGCACCCGTTTAGTAAGCGGGAGGTCTTGAGTTCGACTCTCAATGAAAGCATTCAAAAATTCTATTTTCTTTTTGTCTTCATATGAAAACAATGTGACACTACTCATTCTTAGTTAATTTCGAGCATAAGCTACCACAAATACGACCATCAAAAATAGGAAACAAGTTATATCTTTATTTTGGGTCTCTAGAGTAACTATGATTTGATTTGGTTCACATTTTCCATCTTCATGCATGTAGTTTTGTGTCATGTTCGTGTTTCCATCTTCAGTCTTGAGCTATTTCATTTAATAACTTGAGTTTCTCATTTTCTGGTGCAACATAGATGCTGAGGTTTTTCCTCAACTGCGAGTCTACAAGATTCTCAGCAAATAGTTCCACATTTGCAATTTCAAACTCCCTTCCATATCTATCTCTGAACAAGTTTCTTACATGATGCAAATGTGACAATTCACCACATCTTGAATCTGCATATGTCAAACTTGCAACTGCCACTGCCACATTGGTTGGCAAGTTGTGCATAGAACTGTAATAACACTTGTATAGAGTTAACACATTCACACACACAAGTAATCATGCATATAAATTGAGATGACAAAGTCCAATATGTAAGTACCTGCATTTGCTAATGTGAGACATGTTGGTGATGATGCATTCACAGAAATTATCAATTAGATCATATGCAGTCAATAAACACGTGTCTTTATATAGTTGTTCAACCTAAATTTTAAAGGGAAATATAAGCAATCAAAAACATTTAACTTGCTAGAGAGAACAACAAATTGTAAAATAATTGCAGTCTATGATATAACAATAGCAGAAGAACAACTTCCTAACCAGCTGCCATGCATATATATATATATATATATATATATATATATTAAAACTAATAAAACTTACTCTAGCTAAAGCACTGTTGAGGTTGCCAATTTTGAGCAGCTGAGCAATATCTGCACGTGATTGCTTAATAATAGCATGCATCCTTTTCTTTCGGTTATTTAGTTGAGCTTGAATTTGCATTATCAGGTTCTTGCTGCATGGTTGAAGAGCAATAGATATCAGCTTGAAATTCTTCAGGTTCGTGATTGAGTTTTTGCTACATAGCTTGAAATTGCACAATCAACTTGTATTTCATATTCTTATTTTTCTTTCCTCAACATTTTTATTTATTTACTTATTAATTCTTCCACCTTTTCTGAAGTTTAAACAGTCACCTTATTAACTTGTTTAATAATAATGGCTGTTAAAAGAAAAACTGTTATGTGCATAATGGCAGTATGATTTTTGTTTATTCTATATCAATGTGAATTATGCATGCAAAAACTCTATTTTATCGCACTGTTCTCTCCTTTTCGAAAATGGGACTCAGTTCCTAGTTCTTGCAGCAAGAGCAAGAGAGACTTACCTATTGAACTAGCAATAAAAACATGTTGAAAAACCTGAAAATGTTGATCTAACATAGAAGTTACAAGTAGTGTTGAAATAAACATGAAACCATAATCATTCGAACATAAATCTAAACACGTACTAAATCAATCACAGAATCAGTGTAATTGATCTACATAAACAAAGACTTCTAACAAAGAGAAGACTAAAGTAGTAATATATGGAGTATAGTTCTTAAGTGTCGAAGTATTGATATAATAACAAGATTAAGGGTGAGTTTGGATAAATAATATATTTAAGTGCTCATTAAATAATTTATTTTTAAATGATAATTTGTCATAAATTTAATAATTAAATTGATTAGAATAAATTGAAAACAACTTATCTTAACAAGTATACCAAAAATTAATTAAAATACACTGAAAATAATATAATAAGCTATTTTTCATAAACTCTTTTAAATCGTACCCTACAAAAAATGAAGTTGTAACTCAAAAGGAGAAAACCTAAATAAAAGATAGAAAACAGGCTATTAGACACTATCTTTTGAACACTTTCGGTGTTCATACACGAACATGAAAGTAACATCATAAGGAATACTAAAAATGAAATCTCTGTCTAGTATAACTGGGATGTGATTTATCATTCACATAACAAGAAGACATGTAAATATACATATCGTCGTCACACAGTATCCTTCTTCTGATTTGAATCTCAGACTGTTAAATCATAAAGAAAATAAAATCACAAACAAACAAATTTCAAATGGCAACAAAACCCTTCACCCAAAAAATAATTTAATAAACATGACTACATCAGGATTATGCAGAAAATGCCTTAGTACCACTTAGAAGCTCTCTTCCACCCCGTGGCTCTGACACATACAAGAGAAGAACAAACTACATTAGACCACATTGATTCAGATTTTTTGTTTTTTAAATTATTTGTACAATTTAAAGGGTGAAGAAGAAACTCTGAGAAACAGGTGAAGAACCAGAAAATTAATATATACAGTAATTTGGCTCTTGATTTAAGGAAGAGAAATTATTCTTGTACATAAAATTATATAAAAATGTATAACTATTAAAAAAAATTAGAAGACAAAAGAGAGATATGTAATAAATTAAGTAACATAATTGAAAGAGATAAGGGAAAAAAATAATATTACAACAAGTGTCGTAAATATATTCTGTATTAATAATATAACTGAATAAGACTTTAATTCTAGCTCTTAAACATGTGTCAACTTTTCTAATACTTGCCAATTTTGAGAAGATATTGGACAAGTGAAAATGGTTGGAAAATATATGCCATAATATCATGGATATGGCTTTTTTACCTTTACTTTTAGGGTACATGGCTTTTCACTTGTTTTAATGAACGGTCAATAAAATAAAAACAATTAAACGACCATGATCAAGACTGCAAAAGTCACCACCACCTAGAGACCAATTAAGTATTGAAAATATTTAGCCAATCAATTATCACTATTAGTGTTAAACATGTGCAATAAAGTTTTTTTTTTTATGAAGGACTTGAATTTATACAAACTTCACAATTTAATTTAAAATGTATTCTAAATGTAAAAATTAAAATATCATTTTAAAATATTAAATTTATAAAAATTGTAATTGTTTTAAATGAATTACAGTTTGTAGAGTTTTATTAATTATTTTATTGTTGTAACTTTAGTGGAAATATTTGTTTTTCAAAATTTTAACTAATACAAATTTATTTACATACAAATATGTTTCAAGAAAGATTGCATTTAGTTGTTTTATCATTTGAAAACAATTCAGCTTCTAAACTTGATTATATAAATTTAATTAGCAAATTGTGCATCACAAAAAGCAATTATAATTTACTTTTTTCGTAGTCTCGTAACAAAACAATAAACTTTAAACTGATAAAGTCCAAATTATTTGAAATTAGATCAAATGAGATTTAATTTCAAAATCAAATTGAATGAATGATAAAAATAAATAAACAAATAATTAAAATGAGATGGAATAATTTTCCACCAAAAAACCAATTCAATTTAATTCATAGAGCGTGTGCCCTTCCTTAATTCCCAAGCCATGCAAAAGGCACTTGATATGGGACCTTTCTTTCTTTATAAAACTTGGTGTAGTAGCCCCTAAGATATCTGATCCCATTCTTCTTCCCCACCCTTTCTCTTTTCACCCTAACTTTACTTTCTCACTGACAACAACCCCTCAAAGCACCATTAAGTTACCAAATAGCTCATTTCAATTCTTGAACAACTTTCTTTGAATTAGTCTCATTTCATGACACCCTTTTCACCAAACTAGTCTTTCTGCTAAATTAAGTAAACATCCCAAATGGCAAATACCACACCCTCCTCACTAATTTTGATCACAGAACAAGAATATTATTTCCATAATTTTGACATCACATGCTCTTGGGTAGATACTACTAACATAATTAATAGGATCTTAATATTCCTTTTTTATATATATTTTAATATATAATGTATTCAACAAAGATTCTAAACACGTGTGTTTCCAACATTTCCAACGTACTTTTTCTAAACATAATTTTCTAAGTTCAATTATTTTAAAAAGTCAAAGCTATTTAAAAAAATAATTTATGAAATAAATACTTTTACTTCTTCAAAAAAATGGATTAATCATGTAAAATACGTGTGTACAAAACGATATGCTCTAAATCATTGAACATGTAAAGCAGTTTTTCCTTGCCTCGTGGGCCTATATTATGCTACATTAGTGCTTAAGCAACAACAAAAAATTGTCTGGTAACGTCACTGTTAGCTGGTAAAATACGCACATTAAGATTGTAGTTTACAGGTGTAACATCTTTTTCAATTTCAATTTCCCATGTTTTAAGTGTCTTGTGCTTTTTGTGATGCACTAACAAAGCAGATTCTGGAGGAAGAGAGAGAGAGAGAGAGAGAGAAAAAGAGGATTCTACAAGCTAAGCTGCACACACATCACATTCATGGCTTCCAAGCTGCTACTAATCACTGTTTTTTTTCTTCACTTGATTGCTTTTGCATTGGCTGTGGTTGCTGAGCAGAGAAGAAGCACCGTGAGTATTCTATTTATAATTTTCACTTCTTTTAACGTGTCTTTAAGAATACACTATAAAAATTTATATATAATAGTTTTTAAAAAAATTACAAATATTATACAGTAATAATAATAATAGATACTATAATTTTAATGAAATTTTATTATTTATTAATTTTTTATTACATGCATTTAAACATACATCAGAAAAATCGTATAACTAAAATCTCTCAACTTTTTCTCCTGTGTTCTCTGATTCTTACTACCGGTTTAGTTTTTATTCTTTTATTTCGAATCTTTCTCAAAATTAAGAATCTGGGTCTGAGTTTTATGAATTTTTTGTTTTCGGGTTCGTGAAGAATTATGCATTCAATGGAAAAGATTAAGGTAAGAGCAGAGACTAAGTCTTTATATATAGGAGTAAAGAGTGAAAATTAATGCTGGATTTAACTCATAAAGGTTGAAGAGCCTGTGTTCTGTTTCTTTCTTTAGATTTTTCGCTGGCCACATTTCCATATAAAAAATTTCAAATCTGTTTATGCATGTAATTTTTTTATGAAAAATAATCATGTATGATATAAGTATGATTTTAACAAGACTATAGCTTGATGTATAACTAGTTATCTTTTTCTTATTTTTTTCTATACCTATTTTTCTATTTAACCCATTCATTAATCCTTGTTGACACATATTGTTATTCTTTATTTTTATTATTTAAAAACTATGTTAACCTACTTTTACGAAATTTGGCCACATGTATGAAATGGGGCTTTCGAGCCATGCAGTAACTGGGGGACTGAGATGATGGTGCATGCATGAAAGTAGCTTAAACTTTTGAAACTGAATATCAAATTTCCAAAATTTATTCATTTCGTAGTTTCTATCAGCAAAACTATATCAAGATTTACGAAACAGGTGCCATGTACCCCCCCCCCCCCCCTATTAGCTTCATATATTTCCTTCTACATGCTACCTTTTAACCAATCTCTATAGTGTGTTAATGTTAGATATAAAATCACTCATGTACTCGTTTTTAAACCTCTTGGAACATAAAAATGTATTACATGGGAAGATATTTTAGCCATAAAACAATGATCCTTCACCCAATTATTAGATTTAGGAGATGCATAATAATTTTCAGGTTGAAGAATTGAGTGGCTTTATATTTCTAGGATGCTGATAGAAATAGTACCAAGTTCGCAAAAAAGAATGATTTATTGCAAATTGCCAAACCTGACCCAATGTCGAAGAGAGTAAGAATGGTTACAATAGGATTCAAGTGTTCCAGCCAACTCCCAAATTCCAATTATTATGATCTGCTATCCTTTCCTTGTCCCTTGTCCCTCTCCTCTGTTTATTCTTCTAGAAACTTAAAAAACTTCTGCTACAAGATAAAAATATATATAATAAAAAGTTTATATTTTTTAAGTTAAATTTATTTTTAATTATTATAAAAACTATTTTTTATATCGTTTATGCATTTTTCCACTTTTTTTCATTTCATTTTCTATTCATCCAAACAAAATATCATTTTTACTCTATTTTCACCCTTCTTATTTCAATCTTCTCTATTTTGATCCATTAAAGAATCATAAGGTCGTGATCCTCTACAGTTTATGCTGTCTAATCATATCAAATGCAATCACTAGCTACAATCAATCAATCAAAAGCTAAAGATGTATTAAAATTTAAAATAACAATGAAGTTTATGCTGAGATCTGAAACTAAAATTATTTTAATATTATTATATACTTTTTATTGGTTGTACCTACAGGCAGCATGTTGAATACAGGATTGCTTTTAGTTACCTACAATAATTATTTGAGTCTGTTAATTGGCAGGCCAAGATTGTACCAGACAAGGAAATAAATTACAATTACTGTGTCTATGACTCAGATATATCAACTGGGCTTGGTGTTGGTGCATTTCTTTTCCTCTTGGCCAGTCAAGTCCTCATAATGGTGGCAAGTCATTGCTTCTGTTGTGGGAAGCCTCTAAACCCAGGAGGTTCAAGGGCCTTGGCAGTTGTCCTTTTCATAATCTGCTGGTACATGATAATTCTTTACCAATAATGTTATTTCGAGTCCTAACCCAAGCCATAATTCTTTACCAATAATGTTATTAAACTAAGTGCATGTTTGGTCTTGGTGACAATCTTAGATGCAGGTAGCTTATGGATCTCATAAGCACATAAATTGCATATAGAATGTGTATTGAAACGTACTTAGGAAGCATGAACACAGACATGTGACACCTTTTTTTCTGTTGTGTGTGTATAGAACTGATTGTTCTAGTCTTGCAACTCTCTCTTTAACAGGGTGTTTTTCTTCATAGCTGAGATGTGCTTGCTGGCTGGTTCAGTGAGAAATGCCTATCACACAAGGTATAGGACCATGTTCACTGAAATTCCCCCCTCTTGCCAAACAGTTAGAAAGGGAGTTTTTGCTGCTGGTGCTGCTTTTACTTTATTCACTGGCATAGTTTCAGAATTCTATTATATCAACTATTCAAGGGCCAGAGATAGCTTCCAACCACATGGTGGAGAGACTGGTATTGGTATGGGAACCTACAAATGAGCTTTTTAGTTAAGAAATTTCAACCAACACACAGCCATAGATGTCACTATTTGAACTCTGGCATTTCTTATGTGAAGGTGCCTCACTATAATGTATATGTTATATTATATGGTAATTCCTTATGACATGTGTAGCCCAATCATCAGTTTAGAGGGTGCAAACACAATTTGATTATTGAATTCAATGTTTGGCTGAATTTGAGTTGGATTGCGTTTAAACACAATTTTGATTTCGAATTATAATTGGAGTGGAAGTAACAAGAAAAAAAATTGTTTTCTCGTTGGGTTCATTGTTTGAAGTTAGCTTGCAAGTGATAATTCAAGCACACACTAAAATTTTCACCATTTCTTTTCCTGTTTTTGGGGATTCCTTGCCACTTGCAATTTAAGTTTTTTGGTTCTTTATTGCCATTACCATATATTCATATCAATCAGATAAAATTTTCCACTCATTTTTAGGATTGAAACTTGTAGAACTCCCCTTTATATTTAGAAATTTGTCAGCAAATCAATTATTACAATGCACCTATTTCAATTTCGAAAAATGTTCAATAATTGTTTGTCTAATGGTTTTCCTTTGTTACAACCTTAATTTCTCCAAAGAGAATTAGAAACAAAAATCTCGTAAACATCTGTGTATATGAACATAAAGTCAGTTTTAACCAAAAGTATTTACATTACTTTTTAAATAAGAATTAGTTTCACAAGTAGCTTGACTTTTCAGAGTAAATTAAATAAATATGTAATAAAATGAGAGAAATTAAAAAGTTATATTTTAAAATAGGAATTAGTACATGAAGCAATTATTGAGCAGATAGCAAACGAAATTCTTTCCATTTCATTAGAAATTGTGAGGCCTCAGTCTTCACATGTTCAACGTAGCAACAAGCAAAGTAAAAAATAGAGTAAATTAAAGTACAATGGGGTAGCCTTGACCTAGCTGTTTACACTACTGAACTGTGTCAAGTACCAATGTACAGTTCTATACGGAAAATAGTTTAGGGTGTCAAAAAAATTGCAGAAGACTCTGATACCTTCACTCATTTGGATCATTTTCATTTTATGACTTGTGAGCTTAATATTACTAATTTAATAGGTTAGAATCCCGAAGGATCAATGTTAAATCCTCGCCCTCAAAAAATAGGGATTGCCTTTAAATATTATATATAAAATTTGTCGGTAGAATTGATGGTGTTTGAACTTTACGGTCATAGCTTAGCAGCACAAACCCCAACACAAATCTAAGAAATGGTTACAAATGAGATTCATGAATTATTGAATACTAACTGTTAAGGAAAGTTTGCTTACGAAATTCAATGCACGCAGATTGCAGATTGCAGATTGCAGATTGCAGATATTTGTACTTTCCTCTGCTCCTTTCTTATTGGTCTTTCCAATGCCTATCATTTCAGCTATGTTAATCATGCCAAATATAATTAATATTACTTCAGATTTAATAAATATTTTTATTATTAAATTTTACATTAAAATATATTAAAATTTATATAATCAATTCTTTTATATTTTAAATGAAAACTTATTTTAATTTTTAGACTAATTCGATAAAAATATTCATTATCATTTTTCAAATAATCAAAGTAGTTATCTTATGGCACATAGTTTATTTTTCTTAAATACATAACTATTTTTACATCTCAGTGCTATTTTTTATATATTTTTTATTATTACATTTGGAATAATTTTAGCTTTATTCTTGTTATTAACGTGATTCAATGAAAAGAAATCATATATAAAGCAATCTTTTAATAAATTGTTTTAGCGAGAGAAATTAATATATATATATATATATATATATATATATATATATTAAAGAAACAAAAAAATATGTTCAAAAATAATACTGTTTTTATATTTAAACTTTATACAAGTATTAAGAAAAAAACAAAACCAAAAATAATTTTATTTGAAAATATTTACAATATCATACAATTAACTATTTTAGTACAAAATTATTTTAGAATTTTGTTAGGCAGTGTTTTTAGTTCTGATATTTAAATTATAAAATTGTCAAGTTGAAATTCATTCAATATATTTGTAATATTATACCAAATTGGCATAGACACACACATATGACTAGTTTAATATAGTTAAATTTGACTATGAATTGTATGATGAAAAGAAATCTATCACGTTTAACTTTTATTATGGTTATGATTTATAGTGATAAAATACATGGGATTTCATATGGTTCAATGTACCTTTTCTTCACTTTTCGTAAACAATTATAATTTAAAATATTTTATTAGTGTTATTATTTTTTTAGATTTTTAAAAAAAATTGTCATCCTTGTCCTAATACATTACTCATTATATTTATTATTTATTTTTCTTATTTTTTCCCTCTTTCTGAATGTTTATTTCTCTAATAAATATTTGCAAACATTTTCCTTACCAAAATTGAAACATCAGCATCAATCGTTATTAATAGAAGGAACACCCACAACTAATGTTGAAGACAAACGTTAGAAGAATTACAATTTTCAATTAAAGCTTTTGTCCTAATACAAATACCAGAATTACAAATCTAACCAAATCTCAATACAAATATCAGAATTTGAATTAAAATTGTGATTCTTAAATTTAGCATCATCGTCTTAGTGTGTGTTTGAACAAACCCGTTTGTAAAATTAATTTTACTTAAAAGTAAATTTAAATTAATGTAAATTTTATTTGAAATTTTGACCAGTGAAGGCACCCTAATCACACGATGGCTTTGTTATGTAAAGGTTTTGTTGTAGCATCTCAAGAATCGTATCATTAAACGCTGAAGATTTGAGAGATCCATAGGGTGAACAAGAAATCTACTAGCTCTTAAGTTGTCACTCAATTTCATGTCACTCAAATAAGAACTTTATCATGTTGCATAAAGTTGTGGCCTCGCGTGCCTAAGCTAAGATCCATGTAAAATAATTCACTGAATAATCATTTTAGTATTTTAAATTAAGATCAAGGACTTCTTATTTTAGTTTTTCAAAGTGTAAAATTATTGTTAAGTTTATAAAATCTTTAGTTTATTTTATGTTTCTTTTAATCATTAGAATAATATGAAGTAAATTTTAAAATACTAATAAATGATTTAATATTTTTAAGTAACTTTTTTGTGAGTATATTCTTAATGATAAGAAATATTTAATATTATTGATGATAAAAAAACAAAAGTATGTTATATATATTGTTAATATAATTTCATTCATCACATGTGTATAAAATTTAATTCAGTTAGAACATTTTTATCATAGATAATATCTGACGTTAATAATTAATTTAAACTATGTTTGATAAAAGTAACTTTTTAATTATTTAAAAAATAAGGTCAATAGACGTTAATTCAAGTAACAAGTAATTTGGTATTGTTTAAATAAAATTTTAAGTTTGAAACTTTACGTATGTAAAAAATTATTTTTAAGTGCGCATCTTGTGTCGAATTCAAATTAGACTGGATGAAAAAAAAAAAAGTAAAGATCAATAAATTTTGTAAATTATTTGACAAATAAAAAATAAATGAGTTTATAATTTTTAAAGTTAATTTTTAAAAAAATTATATATGCTAATTTTTATCTTTTAAAAATTAATTATCAATATTTTAATTTAATTTTTATTTTTTATGTTTAAAAAATAACTAATTCATTATATGAGTAAAATCTTACATACATACATTGATTTTATTTTTTTATTCTCTTTACCTTTATAATAATTTTATTATTTTTTCTTTTATTTTTTATTTTTTTTGTCTATTCTATTCAAATATATTTTATATTAAAAATATATATAGCTTAAAATATTTATGTTCAAATATAAATAAAAATTTTTTTATATATAATTATTTAATTAATTGATATAAATAAATAAATAAAATAATAACTAATTTTAATATTATATTAATAAGCAACATTAGCAACACACCATCTTTAAAGTAAGAAATATGTTAAAAAATACGTTGTTAATATTTTTCTTATGTTAATATAATATTATATATTTTTAAATTATTTAACATAAATTAACTAATTATACATTGAATTTATTAAATAATTTTAATTTTATAAGTTATTTATATAATTATAATCTTTCAATTGCAAATTTACAATTTTTAACTAATTTTACAGAGTTACGTATAAACTCTAAACTTTTATCTTATTTTATCAAATATGTCTTAGTACTCCCTTCCATTCTTTCTGTTTATAAAGCACTTCGCCATATCATTTTATTACTTTAGAAAAACACACCCATCACTCATCAATTAAAAAAAAAGGACCTTCTCAAGTGTCAATCATATCATTGCCTTATTTTCTCCTAGCCCGTTTTGCTCACAAGACTCTCTTAAAGGTCCAAATACAATTAAAAAATTTAATTAAATTTTATTACATAAAAAAGTTCATACCATAACTTTAAATGTGACTTAAATCTAATTGAATTAGGTTTAAGCCTGATTCCTACCCACTTAATTTATTATATGAGTGAACAAATTAAAAATAATTTTTTTATTCTTTTAGATTTTAAAAGAAAAAAATTATTTAATGATAACTTTTATTTGAGAATTTTTAAATGAAAGAGATTTTATAAATATTTCAAAATCTCTTTAAACATATATTTTTAAGATCTCTCAATATAATTTTTTTTTAGCTCACGTTTCATCTTTATTTTCCTTTTTCTTACCTTTTCTACTCTCTATGTCTCTTACTTTCAGACTTCTAAACAAACCTCAAACATTCTATCCTTAGTTTTCAACATCATCTCCTAAAGAATTAACTTCAATATCTTCGAAATTCAACGCAGAGAAAGTGACCTAATTTTGAGTTTTGCATGTCGAGTTACATGTTCACATCCTATATTTTGTGTAAACGTGTTTTGATTAAAATTAAATTTATTAGACCATAAATTTATTCTAATACCACACATTATAATTTTTCAGTTAAACCACAATTTAACATGATTTGTAGCTATTTCCTAACCCACACTTAATCTTTTCTTCTTGTTTTTACATATATTTATCCCGCTATGTCCATTGGTGCTTTGTTGTTGATAACAAACATGGACATTTCCATTTTGCTGTTACAAACATAGTCAATAAGGTTAATTTTCTAATATTATGAGAAGCCACCCTTGCATTTATGTTCCTGTCGTGCTGTTTATTCTAG